CGAACACGAAAAACTTGAGCCCTGAACCCTAAAACCTGGAACACCAAACCCTGAGCCTAAATACTGGGTTTTGGGCTTAGGTGAGACTTTAGGGTTTACCTGGACCCTCAAGGTATGTTAAAAGACAGCCCAAAACCCATAATTTTGCATATTTTGTGGCTTTAGTTAGACTTAAGCAAAGGCCCTCTGAGGGCAGGGCCGCAGTGAAAGATCCCGCGCCGAAGGCCGTCGCCGCGGCCATGGCCGGTGTACCTACCATGTGGGTTTAGGGTTTAGGGTTGAGGGATTAGGGTTTAGGGTTAGGGTTAGGTATTTCCGCTATTGGGGGCACCTTATTTGGGGTCCTTGTGAGTCGGGGATCCTACTACTTGGTATCGTAAGCCTGCATATGGCTGTGGGGATTGAGTTCGGGGCTTCAAGAGAACCCTCTATACCCCTAAATTAAGGAATACATCGTACATGATAAAAGGATCCTCAATAAGGGGGTATTCCTTAATCAAGGGGTATTGGGCTCTTTGGGGGTTTCAAGGGTTTCAGGACTTCGGGATTTAGGGATTCTGGGGTTGTAGGGCTTGTATGAGCATGGCGCTTTCCTTTTAGGGGCTTCGGGAGGAAGTGGAAGCTCGGCACTTGCTGCCTGGAAGCTTCATGAAGCTTGGGGCTCTGGAATTCTAAAGCTTTTGGGCGGGTTGGGGGTTTAAAAGTGAAGGGAAAGGTCTCTCTCCGCAATGCTCTGTGAAGAATCATTCTTTCTGAGAACATGGCCGTATGTCGGAGCGGCGGTCGATGTCTCTGTCGGCGGGGCGGCTGCGTAGCTGGAGCCAGCTACAGGCGCGCTGCCGTAGTAGCCGCCGTACGTGTTGCCATATGCTGGCAGGCCACTGGCGTAAGTGGAGGGCTGGTATGCGCCATATGGACTGCTGGTGCCGGTGTAGGAGGGCGGCCCGCCGGTCAGTGCGGATGCTGCGTATGGTGCCGAGTAGCTGGGGGCACTGTAGCCACCGTAGGTGCCGGGCGTTTGCGCGCCTGTGGCTGTCCCCAGCGACGTGGTGCCAGGAGTGTAGGCGGCGGCAGTTGACGGCGCGTAGGCGGCGGCCTGAGCTGTTTGGGGGATTGCCTCCCCGAAGCTCTTCACATGTGAACCGTGGAGCACAACACACTACTTCTTGCTGTCTTGTCGTGCTCAGAGAGTCGATGGAGCCAAGGCCATCACTGAATGTTTACCCGAACAGTCCGACGTCAGCTCGCTTTGAATCCCCCTAAAGCCCCTAAAGCCCCTAAAGCCTGAACCCTTAACCCTGAGTTGTGAAGAGCTTGGGGCGGCGGCCGAGTAGGTGCCCGGCGTGTATGCATTGCCCTTGGCTGTAGCATGAACTCTGCCAACTACTGCAAGCAAGCAAGCAAGCTGCTGAAAAGGAGATTTTCTCTACTCATAGCCTTTGCCAGACAACCCCGAGCCTTAAGCCCTAAAAACCTTAAAGCCCTCAACCTTAAAACCCTCAAAGCCTCAAAACTCGTAAGAAACCTGCACCCTAAGACCTTGATAGGCTCCTGGCCGCAGGCAAGGTCCCTGAAGAGGGCAGGGCCGAGCCACCCAGGGTGGTGACCTTGATGTTGAGGATTTCGGGCACAGGATGTGCAGAGGGTTTTGGGCTTCAGGTATCTTCGGGGTCTAGGGCTTAGAGGATTTTCAGGATTCTGGGTTTCAGGGTTTAAAAGGCAGCTTCAGGCTTGCAGGGGTGTAGGGGTTTGCGGCTGCTCAGTCGTGTGCGAGACGTTTGCGAGACGCTTGCGAGACTGCGCGAGAGTTTGGGGGGGTTGAGGATTCAGGGTTCAGGCTTCGAAAGTAGAGGCTTCCGAATTGAGGGGGTTGGGGATTCAGGGTTAGGCTGGCGAGGGTTCAACGCGTTGAGGGTTTAAAGATGCAGGGGGGGGCTTCGGGGTCCCCAGGTGTAGGTTGAGAGGTCGGCCGCTCGCAAGCTGCAGGCTCTCGGTTGACGCATCTTCGGGTCCCAGGAGTCCATCCTTTTCCTTAAAGCTTAAACCCTAACCCAAACCCTAACCTAAACCCTAAACCCCAAACCCTAAACCCTAAACCCGAAACCCCTGCTAATCTCGGCCCTGCTCTGCCGTGAACCTGCACGGCGCCGTAGGGCGAGCTCTGCGATTGGTACATGGCCGAGGAGCCTCGGGCTTCGAGGAGCTTCTGGGGCTGTTTTCGGGGGGGGGGGGGGGGTTTAGGGTTTAGGGTTTAAGGTTTAGGGTGTAGGGTTTAGTTCTTAGGGGGGGCTCCGGTCATGAGGGTCATAGTGTTCTCTGGTGGGTCTATCAGGGGGGTACCCCTGCTTCGGGGCCAAGCCAAAGCCTGCGTGGGGTTCGGGAGTATGGCGACCCCTTGCTTTCAAACCTAAACCGGAAATCCCAAAGACCCCCAATTCAAAACCTTGAAACAACCCCAAAAGCCCGTAAGCCCTCAAACCCCTTAAAAGCTCTTAAAAGCACCCAGAAGCCCTAAAAACCGCCTCAAGGCTCCACAGTTAGGTTCCTCAAGCTGAGGAAGGAAGCCCACCGGCAGTCCCGCACCCAGACCTGGTGGCCCCCCAACACGCTCAGGCTCTAAAGTCCCCGGGGGGGGGGAGGGGAGCTCCGAAAATTCGGGTTAAGGGTTTAGACGTTGAGGGCCATTTATGTTTTCAAGGGGCCGGTCCTAGAGTAAATAGTTTGGGGGGCACCCCTCGGTTCTTTGTTTTTTGCCTGCCCTCCTGAGCCCGGCCCCTGGAGTCCTTGGCTCTTTTCCTGATCGAAAGTCATCAACCTGAACCTTCGCAAAGCCCCCAAGCAAGCCGCCCAAACCCCCCCCCCCCCACCCCAGCCCCACCCTTTAGGGTTCAGGGTTTAGGGTTTGGGGTTTCGGGTTTAGGGAAACCTCAAACCCCCCCGCCCCAGGCCTTCCGCCCCCTGCCCACCCTCCCCCCCCCCCCCCCCCCCCCCCCCCCCCCCCCGGTCAAGAAAGTCAGAGCCCCCGCGCCTCGCCCGTGGACGCGGAGAGCCCCCGATGCCCTAATGTTGAGCCGCTGCTGCCGGGGGAGTCTCGAGTCTTTGCTTTGCTTCTTCTTCTATATAAAAAGGGCCCTGAGATGTCTTCATTCTTTGTTTTGCAGGTTTTTACATTGTATATATCTATATATATATATATATATAATATTATACATATGTATATATCTATATATGTATATATATATATATATATATGTTTTTTTTTTGGGGGGGGGGGAGGTTTTGACTTTTGGGTTTTCGGGGTCCCTTTTGCGGGGTTCCTGCTGTTCACACGGAGCCGATGGCCCCTGTGGGCCTCTGATGTCTTTTGAGTGGTCCCCCTAAACCCTAAACCCTAAACCCTAAACCCTAAGCCCTAAACCCTAAACCCTAAACCCTAAACTTTTGAGTGGTCAGCCGCGCCCTGAGAGCCCTCCCCCAAATACCCCCCGAGGCTAAGCAATATGCGAAATATCTGAAAGGGCTTCGGGTTGGGGACTTGGGGTGTAGGGTTGGGGACTTGGGGTGTAGGGTGTAGGTTCAGCAACATGTGAGAGGGTTTAGGATTTGGGGTTTAGCAATAGGGTTTTGAGGGTTGGGGTTTAGAATTTAGGGTTGAGGGATCAGAATGCTGGGCCAAGCATAGTTCAAGGTCTGATATAGCTGAAGGCGCATTGCTTGATTACGGAGTACATCCCTGGAGGAGCCGAGCCAATTACCGATCTCCTCCCCTTAGACATGATTATACTAGAAGCTGCCGAGAGAACCTGTCCTAACAACATAGAGGCTCCTTTAGAAGGTGTAAGGCGCTCTGCACATGCGCATTGCGCACGATTTTTTTTGCCAGGAGCGAAGGCTTAGTGAAGGAGCCGGGTAGGGCCGCGCAAGCCCGATTGCCCCCCTCCTTACCTTGAGGTTGCTGCCTGCCCGCATGCTTTGCAGATGTCTCAATGAAGGTGGTTCCATAGGGAGAGGTCGGACTAGGTCTCGTTAAGAAAAAGCGGGCGAGCTCATCATCATTGCAACTCCCTTTTTAAGGGACCGTAGATCCTGTTTGCCAAAGCCTCCTCTTTCAGAAAGAATCGACCCTAAACCCCAAACTCCTAAACCCTAAACCCTAAACCGGCATGCCGGCAGGCGTGGTGGTTGCATTGACATTGGCCCATCCCGGCATCGGGACAACGGGGGCGGTGGGCTGAACATCACTTCAGCACCAATAGCTGGGTTGGCCCCCTTAAACCCTTTGAAAAATATTCGTACATGGGGTTTCGGGTTTGGGGTCCCTTCTAAAACCCAAACAAAACATCAATATAATTGATCCCCAAAAGCCAACGTAGATTCGGAGTTTAGGGCTCAGGGTTTGGGCACCCTAAACCCCGCATTCTAAACCTCACATCCACGCCGCTCCCACCCCTCCGCCCGATTCATAAAAAAACCTACTCAACACATGTCCACCCGAAGCAGCCCAAGACTCCCGACCGGCCAAAATTCCCTAGAACCGTAATATATGGGTTGGAATAGTTCCTACTTAGTGTTCCCTTATGGTTCCTATATAAAGTACAATATTAAACCCCCCAAAGGCCTATTCTACTTTTTAAGCCAAACTCCCGACGTCCGAGACAGTTTTGCAGGACTCTCCTTAGAAGGAGCCCCCTTCGCATTCCTGCGGGCCCGAGCATTTCAAGCCACCTTCCTTACGCAGATTGGCTTAAAGCTTTGAATCTGTTTGCTTAGGTGTTCTTGATCTAGAGGCCTCAGCCCAGGTAAAAGAAGTATGCGTTCCACAACATAATTGAGATCGTTGCGTCCGAAATCAAACTCTAATGGGCTTGGTGAAACGGCTTCAATGCGAGCCTCCGTCAGAACTTGAATTCTGTACCGCCTCACATTAGGTATCGAATCTAAGCCCTACAACTTGTGGCCTGCGGAAGTGCCAAAGCTTCCGCCAGGCAAAGCTGCCCACTTCAGCCGACCTGCTGCGCCTTGTTGAGGGTTTAGGGTTTAGGGTTTGGGGTTTTGGGTTTACAAAAAAGGGCTTAAAGTTTAGGGTTTAGGGTTTGGGGATTTGAGGCTGAGAGGTGTCTGGAGTTGAACCTTACTTGGAGGTTCATGCGTACTTCTAGCCCCAACTGTACATCTACTTCCAACCAAGTTAGAGGACTTCGGGGGGGCTTACAAGCGCAGTTGCCGTTGGGGTTCTGAGTACCCAGAACCTCCCAAGTACACCCTGAAGCCTAAGTTTCTTGGCTTAGGGATCTGGCGCTTGAGTTTCTTGCTTAGCTCGAAGATCCGAGTTGGGACCAGGCAGGTGTCCTCACAGCTTTGCCAGGCCGGGGATGATAGGCTTGAGATTGGGATGTTCCCCCCCATACGAACAGCCCTTCATAGGGATCATAATAGGGGGGGGGGGTACTAGAATCCCAACTAAGGACTGACATCACAAGGTTGAGCTTGTACCTGCCTGGCTCGATTTCTGGAGGGGTTCTTTGGGGGTTGCCCCCTAAGCGCTATCTTAACTGGGCGTGGAGCCCCTTGGTAGCTTTTAAGCTCTCCATGCGTGCAACCCCCTACACCCTAAAAACCCTAAACCCTAAACCCTAAACCCTTAAACCCTAAACCCTAAAACCCTCCGAACCACAAAAGCAACTCTTGAGCTGGCCGGGGCCCCCAACTGGTGGCTGCAGGGTGTTTTGTAGCCGCTCCGCCACTCCTCTGCACTTCGATCACTAAACCCTACTAAACCCTAAACCCTACTAAACCCTAAACCATACTAAGCTCTAAACCCTAAACCCCACACCCCAAACCCTAAACCCTAAACCCTAAACCCTGAACCCTAAACCCTACACCCTAAACCCTAAACCCTAAACCGCCGAACTGTGGAGTCCCATTCTGTGTGAACCACATTGTTGGGGTTCCATTTTGTGAGGCTTCGGGTTCAGGGTTTGGGGGCCCCCTTCACGAAAGAAGAGACTGGCCCCAAGCCTACAGCGGTCTTGGGTTTAGGGTTTAGGGTTTAGGGTTTAGGGTTTAGGGTTTAGGGTTTAGGGTTTCGGGATGAAGGGCTGAGGGATTGGACAAACGACGTCGGCCGAAGTCGTCAGGATTGCCTCCCTCAACCCTCAACCCTAAACCCTCAACCCTAAGCCCTACACCCTAAACCCTAAACCTTCATAATTCTGGCTCTATGTGTTCTTCCGGCGAGGCGCTCTAAGGGAGTTGTGGAATGTCCTCCCTGAGCCCTAAACCCGTAAACCCTCAACCAACAGAACATCACATAACGTAGTACATATTGCATACTATACTACATGTTGTAGAATAGTAATAACAAGTACAAATACAGATACACAGAACACATATCTATATCAATATCAATATCGATATCAATATCTGTTTATGTATACGTACAAAAATTGGGGGTGAATGTATCTATCTTTATATATATATGTATATGTGTATATGTATGTGTATACATATATATATATATATGCTACCATATATAAATATAGATATAAATATAAATAAATAAATAAAATATGAATAAATAAATAAATAAACAAATATATAAATATACATATATTTTTTGTTATAACATCCTCGCAAGATCTCGATGAGCAGCGACTTGTCCAGCTGTTCCAGGGCCGGTTGCTGACCTCGGGACTGTTTACGGTTTAGGGGTTTAGGGTTGAGAGGTTTAGGGTTTAGGGCTACCGAACCTCAAGCCCTACACCCCAAAACGCACCAAAACCCGGTTAAGCAATAAGCCCTACACCCCAAACCCAGCACAACCGAATCCGAAGGGGCTTTTTGGTTTGTTGGAGGCAGATTTCTTGGGGGCCAAAAAAACCCTAACCCCTAAACCCTTCTTCAACGCTCCTTTTTGAAAGCCCTGGAGCCCAGAGTATGAGAAGGGTTTCGGGTTTTTAGGGTTTAGGGGGTTTGAGAGGTTCAGGGCTTTACGGGTATAGGGTTTTGGGGGCTTAGGGGTGCAAGGTTTGGGGTTGTATGGTTTCGGTGGCTCAAGGGGTTGCTTTAGGTTTGGATTCCCCTTTTAGGTGACCACTCAACAATCATGGTGCAAAGGTTGTCGGGGTTTAGGGTTCAGGATTTAGGGCTAGAGGTCTTGATGTGGCAGCTGTGCTTGTGGCTGCAGTCTAGCTGCTGTAGCTGCAGCTGCTGCAATACTATATTGAGAGAAGGGAGATTTGTTCCGGGTGACTCCAGCAGTTCGTGTACAAGAGTCGTAAAGATTGCCTTTTGTCACAAAAACACCCCGAAGCGACCCCGACTCTAAACCCCGGAGCATGTGTATATTTCATATTCATGGGGGCCTCAGCCCTACAAGCTTTAAGGCTTTAGGGTACAGTGTTTCAAGGCCCCTCAGCAGCTGCCCCAGAATTGCAAGAGTACGCCGCCCCCCTAGACAGCCCCATGCCCCTGAATTGAGCAACATTCCTCAATGATTCCCCTAAACCCTAAACCCTAAACCCTCAAGTGAGGCGTGGGCAAACGGTGTGGAAGTTGGAGATTATGAAGTCCAAGGCCATAGCTCTCACAGCCTCTAAAGATTGTAGGAGCTTGCGCGGCTCTGAGGCATATTTAGGAATAATTAGGGTTTAGGGTTTAGGGTTTAGCCTAATCAAGGTTATTTAAGGGGGGAACCTAGGGGGGTAATTAGTATAGAGGGGGGGAGTAGGGGAGCCCAGGATTATGGCACGGAGGCGCGCCGGCGTGTTGTTGGGCTTCAGGTGCGCTGAGATTTCACACTGCCGGCACATCTCAGAAAGGCTTCGCCTGCCCAGGAATGCCCAACAAAGTAATCATACCTCATATCCTCAGTAAGTGGAGGTATGGACTTGCCTAACCTAAGGAGCTCCACGATATTGACACTCTGGACGAAACCCTAAACCCTAAACCCTAAACCCTAAACCCTAAACCCTAAACCCTAAACCCTAAACCCTGAAGCCCTCAACCGGGTCTCCTTTGAAACCACTCCTCAGGAAATCTTGCTGGACGGGCGCCTCTGAAAGCCAGCTAGGGGCGCTCAGAACACTAAGCCCTAAACCCTATCCCTAAACCCTAAGCCCTAAGCCCTAAGCCCTAAACCCTAAACCCTAACCCCAAACCCTAAACCCTAAACCCTAAACCCTGAACCCTGAACCCTCCCACAACCTGGTGTTTAGGCTTCGTTTCGGCTTGCTGTGTCCTGCGTGCCCTCGACATTGAGGCGGCTAGAAGCCTCAAAGAGCTGCAGCACGTGGGCCTGTGGCTTTGGTGTTGGAGTGGCTTTGGGAGTTTTAGGGCCCTAAACCCTAAAACCGTAGCCCTCAAGACATAGTACATAGAAGTTGTATGTGGTATCGTTCTGAATGTCCCAAGTCCTCTGTCTAAGCGGCTGGCAAGCCGAGGTTCAGTAAATTAGCCCAAAACGCCTCCGGGAGGCCACATGCTCAATTCACTTAGACCCCCCTCCAAGCTCCTGATGGCCCAGAATTCTAAATATTCGTTCAAGACTTTCGTTCAAGACTTTCATTCAAAACTTTCGTTCAACACATTCGTTCAGAGCTTTCGTTAAACTGTTGTTAGTTCTGCAAGAACTCTGCTGATATTGGGGGGCCCCATGCCCTGCGCCCGCTAGAGGGGAGCAGCCGCTTCAGCCCTGTCTCTCATCCCCAAACCTCTTCACCAGGGTTCTGTAATTTTACTACTACTACTACTACTACTACTACTACTACTACTACTACTACTACTACTACTACTACTACTACTACTACTACTACTACTACTACTACTACTACTACTACTACTACTACTAGCAAACAAGGGGGGGACATTAAAACTCCGCACGCCCTGACCCCAAGCCTCGTTAAAGGAGTCCTTCACCGAGAGCTCGCAGAAGTGCTTCAGACCTGTGAAAGAAAACTTACGCTGTTTAGGGTTTAGGGTTTAGGGTTTAGGGTTTAGGGTTAGCACTTGCTTATTGCAACTTCTTGGAAAGGACGCCCGCAAGCATGCAAAACCGTCCTCTGCACGCTGCCGAAGGTTTCCGGGCCCCTGGCGTTGGTTCGTGAGCCCGTAGAACGACGCAGCATCAACCTGCTTCCGGCCCTCTCTCTCTCTCTCTCCGCTCACTGCTAAAGGGACGAGTTCTTCAGCGCCGGATCTCCTTCTCCTTGCAAAAGTTCAGGGGGTTGTTGGGTGTAACGCTGTAAAGCTCGGGTTGGGGGAGTCTCGGGTGCAAGGGCACGAGACGCTTAGGCAGTTGTTGCAGCCCCTCTTGACAAAGACAACCGTGGTAGCATGAAGTGAAGTCGCCTAAGCCCCAAACCCCCCCAAACCCAAAACCCTAAACACCAAGCCCCGAGACCCTGAGTCCATCCCATCCAGAAGCACAGTTTGTCTGCACTTTTCATCTTGCTTCGATCTTCCCCAGAGTCGTCCTACACCCTTGACCTTAAGCCCTAGAGCCCCAAACCCCAAACCCCTCAAAACCCAAAACGCCCCCAAACCCAAATTCCCAAACCCCTAAACTCTGTAAGACCCGAAAACCGTGCGGACTCTCCCAAGACCGCGAAAATACCTACAGCTCCACCTGGACCCTGTAAAGCCCGAGTGGGTCCTAAGCCGCCCATCCTTTGACTCCGGGGGCCCTGCCAGGTACATGGCTGTGTGCGGAGCCAGGCTGCCTTTTTGCACTCTTCGTTTGCTTTGGGGTCTTGATTTTTTTGGTCTTCGGGTCTTAGGTTGTAGTTTTTGTTTGGCTTGGGGTCTTGATTTTTGAGGGCTATAGGGTCTTGGGGCATTTAGGGTCTAGGGGTTTAAAAGGGTTTTCGGGTTGAAGGTTTGAGCGTGTAGGGTTTAGGATACTTGGTAATGGGGTTTAGGACAAGGGGCTTCGGTAGTTTTATGCTTAGAATTCGACTGATTCGGTCTGTTTTAGGGAGCCTATTCAATGAATTGTCTTTGGGGTTCCTCGGTTTGGGCCGAGTAACGGTGTTGTCCTAATTGATAGGCCGACTTCATATCTATCCAGCCCCCTAAACCCTAAATCCTGAGCCTTGAACAGATCCAAGTAGGGTTGAGTGTCCATTCTAGACTAGGTTGGAGGGTACAGGGTTTAGCACGTCGGGCTTAGGGTTTAGGAACCGAATCATGGTCAGCTATGTGGAACACCCTAAACCCTAAACCCTTCAACCCAGGAGTCTTCGTCTCAGGGCCGGTCTGAGCATGTCGTCCCCGGCGTAGAGGAAGTGCAGCAAGGACCGAAACCTCCAGGCAGCTAGGGTTCAGAGTTTAGGGTTTACAGCTTCCCTTAACCCTAAACCCTAAACCCTCTTGCTTTAGGGTTTGAGGGGGTTAGGGTGGGCTTCGAGTTACATCCTTGTTCGTCCAAGCTCCTCAGTGATCGAAGCAAGGCGGGTCTTTGCTTCTTATGGTTTCTTCGTAAGGAAGTATGGAACTTGGTACCATATATCCCCCTGTGGAACCTTGTGGGGAACCTACCTAGGCTCCGAATTCCGTAGTAAGAGCCGGGGGCTTTTGGTCCTCTCGATGCAAAGGGAGAAAGGACAGTGGAGAGACACGCAAAGGGCCCATAAATTTAGACGGCCCCCCGCAAGAAAAAGGAATCCACTGCCCCCGCCATGCTCCCTGCCCTACACCCCAAACCCATCAAGCACTTGCTTGTTCTTTGGAGGGAACTTTGTCTGGGGTAGAGAAGGTTGGGTTAGTGGTCTAGGGTTTAGAGCAGCGCGTCCTGTTTCAATTTGGGTCCACCCCGCCCCTCTCTAGATATGCTATAGAATGTGTGGTGTCAGGTGGAAGCTGACTTACTTTCTCAGGCAGTTTCAGTGTCTTCATTGCGTGCGGGAGGGTAGGCAAGGTCTGCGGCTTTATGGTGAAGGCAGTGAACCCTCCTCCTCAAAGTAGCAAAAGCCGCAATGGACCTGCAGAGGTCCCACCAGAGTCTTGCGCTAACCGCCCAACGCCAAATCCTGAAACTGAGGGTCCATAGACCTCTAGAGCCCAAACGCCGTTAGGGTTTAAGGATTAGGGATAGGGCTGCCACAGAGTTTAGGGTTTAGAGTTTAAGGCTTAGAGTTCAGGGTGAGGGCTTTGGGTTTAGGGCTTATGGTTTAAACCTTCGGGTTTAGGGCTTCGGGCTTAGGGCTTTAGGGTTGAAGGCTCAGGGCTTAGGGTTCAGGGCTTCATTTAGGCTGAGGATCTTACAGCTAGGCGACACCCCTAGGGAAGTAGCGCTGCTGAAGGCCCAGGCATCTTGCACCTTCGAATTGTATCTGAAGCCGGGAGGAAACCGGGAATGTTTCTTGTAAGCCTTTGGTTTCGGGGTTTAGGTTTAGGTTGAGGTTGGATGATACGCTTCTTTCCTAAGACATGGCTTCTTTGTGAAGCTGGTCAGTGCAAACCCCAACCTCTAAGCCCCAAAAACCCTCAAAGCTTCAAGACTTAAGGATTTGGGCCCCGACGATCTGGGTGTGCAGATACGTGCCATATTTCTTGCGCTGCGCTCACACTGCACTCAGCCCTTCCAATGATAACGTTTCGAAGCCCTCGACTCCGACGATGCCTCCTCCTCGCTATGCACAGCTGCCCTTTCACCCTGGTTTCCAATTGGCGTCACGTTGCATAAGGCCTGGGCATGGGAACTCCGATGCAATGGCGGCTGCCACAGCAATGCTTGCGAACGACACACTATGTGTGAGGTGACATAGCAGAACCACGCCATGACCTGCTGCAAGCACATTCCATTTCCAGCCAGCTTTTTGCGAACGTTGCTTGACAGCTCCTTCAAGCAAGTCGGCAGCACGCTCATGTACTTGTGACTGTCTCCCATAAGGAGCGTAGGCCAGCCCATAGCAAAGTCGACCTCGCTGGCAGTGAAGATGTGTTCCCGAGTTGCGGACACGAGCTGGGAAGATTTGGTGGATGGCGGAAGCAATGAGCTCACACGTGGTCGCGTCTCACTTTGAGTAACATCCACGATGATGGCGTTGCCACCCGGCCCACTCTCCTTCTTCTGAGCCTTCTCGACACCAGCTTGCATCCTTGACCAGGTGGCTGGAGGGAACAGGGACTTGAAGGGCACGTCCTCAAAATTTGAGAAGCATCCGCGCTTCTTAGCAAACTCAGCGCGAAGATCAGCAATGTTCTCAGGCAAGTCCATGCCTGCATACACATCCCCATTCAAGGCTGGGGCTTTTCGTAGCAAGTTCAGGAAGTCTGCTGTCACACATGGAGATGAAGCGGGCCCAAGCCACACGAGAGACCGCTGGTTGATTGCCACAGCATAAAGCCTGTCACGTGTGACAGGTAGCCCGAGGTCCTCACAAGCGTGAGAAGCAAAAAAACCCAGGTCTGCGAAGTTTAGGGTTTAGGGTTTTGTACGTTTAGGGTTGGGTTTAGGATTTGGTGCTTTGGGTAGAGACTAGCACAGACAGTAATGGAGGCTTGGAGCGCTGCCGGCTGCAACCGGCCTTTGCATTACAAAGAGGCTTCTTCTGGGATTTCTGGGCTCATAAAAAATCAACAACCAAGAAGAAGCGAAATCTCCGTGCACCAAAATATCTCAAATAGTACTAAAATCCTCTATGGCGAAAACCGGAAAATTTGGCTTAGAAAATTTGAACGCGATGAGGTTGCATGTCTCTTCCCAAATTAGGGTTTAGGGTTTAGGGTTAAGGGTTTAGGGTCGCAAATGCTCAGGTCCTGTGCGTCGAAAATGACATAAATGCACAGGTAACCGACTTGGGACAGCTCGTCTGCGAAGAGAGCGAAGGGAAACCGAGCGGAATTCTCCATGAAGATGAGATCGAGCTCGGAGTGCTTCATTTTCTTGATCCAGCAATTCCAGGATTCCATCGCAGGGTCGGCGTCCCCCAACTGCGGGCCTTGGCTCGTCCACGGCGTGCACATTGGACCTGAAAAGTTCATCTTCAACGGTCGCGTCTGCTCATTGTCCATCGACATTGACGGGCTCCAGAACAGGGGACAAGACTCACCCGGGTGCAGTTTGCAACACTTTGCAGAGGCACCCGCCGTGAACAGCTCACTTTCCAAAGCAGTCATATATGCCCTCTGCGCGCTGTAGCAGGCAGCTGCTGCAGAGCGGCTGGCCCGCTTCGGCGGGCGCATGCTGAGAAGTCGGTCACGATGGTCTTGGGGCAAGCACTCCAACAGCCCAGTGAAAACATGATCCGGGCAAAGGTTGTCATCTGGCCCACTATCTGTAAGAACTTTCAAAGCATCAGGTGAAATTTCATTGCCACAATGACAGAAAAGCCACTCATCTGGCAATCGCATACCCATGTCCTGCGAGGGGAGCAGACACGACTCTAACAGCATACATCCGACATGTTTGTTGTGCGCAACAACTGACACTCGGCACATGAAGCTGCAAAATTACTTCGCTGTTTCTTGCGGACAGCAAGGCTCCCAGCTCTGAGACTTGCTTTTCTGTGCTGGGGCCGGCGGCCAGCTAAAGCATGGTACAAGATTCAAAATTCCCGAGCGAAGCAAGCTGTCTCGTAGGAAGCAGGAAGCCACAACCCTGATACATCCAAAGCGCGTGCGACTACATGAGGCGTATGTGGAAAACGTGAGGCCTCACTCAAAAATCAACAACTCTGGACTCTGGGCCGGACCTCATCAAGCTCGTGCCCCTCACGCCTCAGGCTTTGCCATTGGAGCCACCTTGGCTGCTGGAAAGGCCTTCGCGGAAGCCTTCGACTTCTTCATCTCTGCAGTGGCGAGGCTGTTGAGGAACTGAAGCCACGCCTGCTCCTTTGCCTCCACGTTTTTGGCCAGCATGAGCTCGTATTTCTGCGCACTGGCCTGCAGGGTTTCATTGAGCAACACACTTCTGCGGAGTCCATGCACTGCAGCTGCTGGCCCGTCCCCAACTGTCGCGTAGGACATAACCCACCCGGGCGGTACCACCAGGATCGATTCAGGCTCTTGGCTGCCGAAGACCAGGGGCGACTTTGCCTCGCTGATGGCTTGCAGGCGTGCCTGGTCCAAGCCAGCAACGTAAGCAACGATGTCTGCGGCAGAGATTTGCTTCTTGTCGCCAAGCGCTGATACAATTGCATCGACAGGCAAGCCATAGAACTGGCTGGTGCCTCCCACCTGCAGGCGGATGCTCCCAAGGAACTCATGCTCAAAGTCGCTGCTGATTGATGTGTCGTTCTCGCCGAACAAAAACCACTTGTTCGTTGCTGCCTCAAAGCGCGGGAAGCCATTGCTCACGCTATTCGGCGCAAGCATCTGCAGCAGCTCCTTCAAGGACTCGTCGTCGTTGCCACGGTTTGCGTCCAAGGGCGCAATGACCCGGTTGTTTGCCTGGCACACCTTCGAGCGAGGAAAGGTTTGGGCCCACACCTTCAAGGTGGAAGAGACGGCGTCGCTCTGCAGGATCTTCTTCACAGCTTCCGACTCCTTCAAGACAAAGGGGCAGGAGTACACATGTGGCTTGGCAGACTGCTCTTCTTTGAAAGCAGCATCTCCTGCGCAAACGAGCAGGGGCGCTGGCAACAGCACTGCCGAAAACTCCAAGCGGAAAGGATCCATCAAAGCCTGCTTCTGCAGCCTTCGCTTCTCATCCTCGGCTTTCTGGCTCTCAGCCTTCAGAGCCTCAGTTCTCTTCTGAGCCTCCATCTTGTCCAGCTGTGCCTTCCTTTTCTTGATGACGCTGTTCAGCTCTGTCGTGGCAGACTTCAAGCTTGCCCCGAGCTGACCAACCAAGAGGGCCTGCTCCTTCACGCGGTCCTGGACCTCATCGTGCTCTGCTGGATCAGCGGCATTCCGAATGCCTTGCACAGACAACATGACATCTGTCGCGGTCACAAGCGACTTCTTCTCCATGGGCAACATATTCCTCACATTCTCGATTGCCTTTTGCAAAGCCTCCTGGTGCAGCTGCGGCTGCGAAAGCGGAGGGCCATCATCCTGCAGCCAGGAGTTCTGCAAAGCTGCACGTCCGGCTTGCAGCGCCTGCTCCCGGTAAGTTAGCCCACCGTCTGTGAACCGGTCAGACTTTCTGACGGTGATCTTGTCATGCGGCTCCAACGTCTTGTCGACACCACTGCTCTTCACAAGCTCAGCCCAAGCAGCCTGGATTTTGTCTTGGGGCACCGATGCACTCTCAGCTGCACGCGAAAATGAATCTCGCGACCACGGCTCCTGCGGCACAGAGGGGAAAACACGTTGAGCCTGAGAAACAAAGCTTTTGAGACCACGATTGCTACTGCAAAAAACAGCCCATCCATCCAAGACGTTTCTGAGGACCTGCTATGATGCTGGACAAATGGACGCAACGCCTACGGTCTTGCGCCTAAGATCCACCAAGAGGCTGGGCTGGGAAAGTTACTTCAAAACTTAACTTGGCAGATACTGCAAGAACTTCAACCAGGTCCTAAACATCACCCTAAACCCTAAAACCTTACACCCTATCCTAAACCCTGAACCCTAAACCTAGGCCCTAAACCCGAGGCCGGCGAAGCTCCCCCCTTCCAGTAGCACTCCACGCGAAAGAAAAAGCAAGCTCAGCGGCCCTGCAACCAAAGCGAGTAATTAGCTCAAAAAAAAGGGCTGCATGACGCACAAATCGCTTGAAGCGATCCAAGCAAGCCTAGACCTACTACTTCAACTTGAAATCGTAGAGGCAAGCCCTGACGTGTCCTCCACATCATACTCCAGCCTCTGCATTTTGAGGCTGCTGGCATCAGCACCGACAGGCAAAGAACCAAGCCAGTGGATGGCAATGCCGGCCCGTTCCTTCAGCAGCTGGAGCAAGTCGTCATCAGCCGATGCCTCGCTAGCCAAGGCAGCAGCCCAGGCCTTCTTCAGGGCCTCCTCAATCTTCTTCTCATGATCTTTCATGAGGGCATCCAAGACACGACAAGTCTTTAGCCTTTCAATGTCGAACTTGGCAGCTCGCTTGTCTGCATCACTCTTTGTTGGGCTGGTCTGTGGAGGGGTCGCGCCACTACCTTCTTTCGCGTCACCAGAGGCGCCATCTCCTTTGCCCTCGCTTAGCTTGCCGCCAACTTTCTTCGCCACGCTGGACACTATCTGCACGGCTGAGGCTGCGCCCTGACCATCCATGTTAGTTATGGCAGCAGCAGGCAGCGGGGCTGTCCAACTTGAAGCCGAGGACTTCAAGCAGGAAACATCACGGAACTGAAACCCACTGTCCAGCTCTGCCACAATTTGGCCGCAGTCCTGGTCTGAAATTCTTGACGACTTGGCAGTTCGCTCCAGCGCTCTCTGCTCTCCAACTTCACGCTTCCTCCTGTTTCTCTCTTCACCCGTCCAGCTCGGGGGTACGGCGACCCTAGGAGTACCGCCGAGTCCTCCCTCGTCTTTGTAAACAGTCGGGTCATGGAGCAGCTGCAGGAACTTAGTGCGCGAGTGTTCTTGGCTCCATCCCCGCAAGCTCCGGAATTTGTTGACGAATATTTCCTCGTCCCATAAGCAGTCGTCTTCGAGCCTGCCCTGAGACAGGGAGGCGTACACCCTGTTCACGTACTTGTTCAAGTTCAGCTGACCACCACGCTTCTTTCCACTGGCCTCCTTGCCATCTGGATTGTCGATGCAGAAATCCAAAACGACTTCATTGGCCAAAGTGACATTCGGTGGGGGGTTTCTGCCTTCACCGAATATCTTGTGGAAGTCAGCTGCTGCGTCTGGATCCACATAGAAGCCCTCCTTGTTCTTCTTGCAGCAGCGACCCTGGATGCACTGGAAAGCCCTCTTGTGCTTGCCACAAAAGGGTGAGCCCTTCGCCTTGGCATCTGGGCAAGCGCGGCACGAACCAGCTTCCTGCTGCGCGCCCTCAGCATTGCCCTCTTCAGACTGGCCATCTCCACCTCGTGAGCCTTGACGAGGCGCTGCCAGCCTCTCAGCAAGGCGTGGGCCTACAGCACGCTCCACGAAGTCGAAGCCTCCTGCACACAGACTGCCTGCTTCTGATGCCGTGGGAGGAAGGCTTGGGGCCAGGGCCGGCTTTGGCCCTGACGCAGTAGCCGTTGCAGACTCAGTCATGGCAGGAAAGCACACCTACAAGCTCTGCTGACCGACGCACGGCAGCACGGCCAAAAGCTCCACAGGTGCACAGTTAGTTCCTGACAAACCCTAAACCCTAAACTTCACCCTATACCCTAAAACCTAAAAAAATCTTAACATCTTAAATCTTAAACCCTAAACCCTAAACCCTAAACCCTAAATCCTAAACCCTAAACCTTAAATCCTGAACCCTAAGCCCTAAACCCTAATCCCTAAACCTTGCAACGCGCAACGAGGCGCAAGCAGCAACTCCTTTGCGCGCAAGCTTGAGAACCCTAGGCCACGCCCCCGCCCCCCCTCCCATGTCCTTCCCTGCTATGTCCAGGATGCGCAAAGCAGCTTCCACGCTGCCTTTGCCGCTGTAGTCCGTATGTAGAACGACGCCATCCTGAAGAAGCGCCTCCGTGCGCCTCCTTCTCAAGAAAGCCTTGCGAACTTCAAGATCATCTTCGCTCACTGTGCCAAACAACGTGCCGAGGATTTCTGTCGGCCAGCAGCCCAAGCTCTCTGCTGTCTGGAAACCTCTCAGCACTGGCCCACCCGTCTGTCTCGCTGGGTCACTGTCGCCCAGGCGTGCCTTCTTGGAAGCGGGCTGCATGCCTATAGCTGCCTGGGCCCTCTCAACTGTTTTTGTCAACCCTATACTTCTAGGAGAAAAAGCATGTCGTATCAAACCTGCTGACAGCAATGACATGGTCTCTGCTCTCTTCTATGCGCGATTCTGTACGTTCAAAGCAAGCTAAGCAACCCCCCTCTTGACCTTTAGCCTTTTCCTGCAGCGAACGCGAAAAGCGCGCGGAACGGGCGAAACTCCAGAATGGACGGGCAACGCCAACACAAGCACCGCAACTGCACTCAAGGTTTTTTCGGGTGTCTTTTCCAAGGTTTCGGCCTGTTTTGCTCAAAATCGTCAACTTTTATGGGATGCGCGGATGGAACCGCTCCAAAAGCTTTGGGGGCATGTTAAATTTCGGGAAGATTCACGGACAGAAGACCACTCTTTGCGCCAGCGGCGCGAAGCCTCCGTGCAACCTGCGTGCAACCTCCGTGCACCTCCGTGCAACCTCCGTGCAACCTCCGTGCACCTCCGTGCAGGCCTCGTGCGCCTTCGTGCAACCTCCGTGCGACCTCCGTGCAACCTCCGTGCACCTCCGTGCGGGCCTCGTGCGGCTTCGTGCGACCTCCGTGCAAGCCTCCGTGCAACCTCCGTGCGCCTCCGTGCAGGGTTTGTGCAGGGGTCGTGC